ACTACAGAGTTTTGTCGGAAAAATTGTGGTTTTTCTGAAAAAAACTTAAGTTACGTCCACACTGCAATTGCGTTCTTTCGAAAGAAAATTGGAAGAACTGAGGGGTTTCTCTGATACTGCTAATCCTCATTCTACGAGGAAGAAGCCTTTTTCCGAAAGAGTTCTTTCAGAAAAAGGCGTGTGTGGCCGGGGAAGAGGGAGTTCTTTTGAGAGAAGAGAAAAAAGGAAAAAGCACAGGTGCCCTGGTGGCCACACCATCTGTAGCAATCACTGCTTAAATGCGAGATAGCATCCACACTGAATGGACGCTATCTGTTGAATAAGCAGATCGCTTTTCCAATGCACTTTGGCAGTGTGGACGCTCTCTTTCAGAAGACTTTTTTCGGAAGAACTCTTCTGGAAAAGCTTCTTCCGAAAGAAGCCTGCAGTCTAGACATAGTCCCAGAGATGAAAAGAAGCCAAGTGAGGCTTTTTTATACCATTTCCCTTCCCTCATCTTAATTCTATGCTCCTTATTTCGCCTACTTACGTGCAGGGGGCCAAGAGGGGCTCATGATTTTGTGGTAGTCAAAACCGCTTCTAGAAACACTACACACAGAGTCCAAAATTGGGCTACAGCTAGGAAGAGATGACGTGGCGTGGCAGAGGCTGCAGCACAGAGGATCACCAGAATATATGGTTTGAGCATTTAACACAAAATGAAACAGAAAGGTAATAGGTTTAAAACTGATCAAAAAGGAGAAACGTTACACGGTTAACCTGGAGAACTCACTGCCACAGGGTATTATAAGGGCCAGACAAGAGTTTAGCAAGAGTCAAAGAATGGATTAGACATACAGATAATACAAACATCCTCTGTTTCATAAGCTAGGATACAAATTGAAGGGGCATGAATTCCTATGCTCAAGGAATGGACCAGCCATTAACGGACTGGAAGGAATTTGCTCCTAGACACAAGTTATTCTGCATTGTCCATTAAACAGGCTTTTTGGGGGAGGGGGTTTTACTTTTCTAGAAAGCATCTGGCACCAGCCATGGTGGAGGCCAGGATCCTGAGCTACATGTATGATCCAGATTGGCAATTGCTAGTAACATATATTGAGAAAATAAAACATTACGAAGTACAAACAGGATGACAAACAGGATGAGATTTCCAGAGAATGACTTTATAAAGAGCTGCACTCCCATGTCAGATTTGCATTGCCAACTTAATCTGCCACAGCCACGAGTATCATTTTTTAAAACACACCCACCTACGCCCAGTTGTAGAGCCTGTTTTTCCGGTCCTTACTTTAGGAAAGCTTAAACAACAACAGAGTGGTAGCACTTTACAGACTAACAAAACATGGCATCATGCGCTTTCCACCTACTTCTTCAGATGACTGGAGTATTAGAGGTCCAGATCCAAGAAACCTAGGAAAGCTGATATCCAAGTCCTCATTGCAGGACTGGAACCATGAAAGGATTCCTTTTGAGAACACACTAGCAGTTACTCTGGTTGACTTGCATGACACTGGCACAGTACGGATGTAAGCGACCAGTCAACTAGCCGATAAGCGTATACTTACGCTTATCGGGTACTTGAGTAGTGATTCAACTAGTTACTTCCCCCCACCCTCCTGCTGCCTCTATCAGAGAGAGCTGAGGAGAGGGGGGGAAAGGGGGCGGAGGAGGGGAGCTGGTGCTGGAGGGAGGCAGCTTAAAAGCCGGTTCTCCCCAGCACCCACTCTGCAGGGGGACAGGGAAAGCAGAGGCATAATGGGGGGACCGGGCACGAGCTGGGAAAGCAGATTCCTGGCTCATAGCCTGGTCCCCCTCGTGGCTCTTAATACATTAAAAAGGCAGAGCCGCAGTGGCGTTAGTTCCCGGGGCCAGGAGCTAACTCGAATGCAGCTCTGCAGTTTCCCCCCTTATCAACTAATGACTGGAAATTCCATCAATGACTCGATTAGCTGATTAAATGCAATTTAACATCTCTATGGCACAGGATAGTAGGTTTCACCCACAGTGAACTTCAACAGAGACATGGAGAGGTATAACCAAGGGAAAACTTTGATCCTTTGAGTGCTTCAAAGAAAATTATGTCATTAGACAAAATGACTAAGAATCTATGTTCACCATCCATGTTTTGTAGATAGACTATCAAAATAAGAAAGCCCCAGCCTTTATGGAAGGTTGCAGTTTTATCTCAGGACTTAGTCTGGTGATATGAGCTTCTCTCATGATTTATGTAGCGAGTATTTCTGGTTGCCAGCATCAGCCACAAAAGCAGCAATGCCCCCCCGCCTCCAACCTAGAAGATCTTGCAGATGGAATTTCTTGGTGCGTTTGTCTGTAATGCATTGCACAGAATTGTATATATTTTTGAATCGTAGGATTCTTTCAGAATCTCCATAGAATCATAGAAGAGGATATCAAGTCCAGTCTCCTGCCGTCACGACAAGACCAAGCATCATTTAGGTCTTCCCTGATAGATGTTTATTGAACTTGCTCTTAAATTTCTCCCATGATGAAGATTCCACAACCTCCCTAGGCAATTTAACCACCATGACCATTAGGAAGCTTTTCCTATTGTCCAACCTAAACCTCCATTGCTGCAATTTAAGCCCATTGCTTCTTGGCCTATCATCAGAGGTCAATGAGAACAATTTTTCTCCTTCTTCCTTGTAACACTCCCTTAGGTACTGGAAAGCTGCTCTCATGTCTCCTCTCAGTCTTCCCTTTTCCAAACTAAACAAGCCCAATTATTTCTGTCTTCCCTCACAGCTCATGTTTTTTAGACCTTTAATAATTTTTGCCCCTCTTCTCTGGACCCACTCCAATTTCTCCACATCTTTCTTGAAATGTGGTGCCCAGAACTGTGTGTCCAGATCATTTTGAATTATGACCCTATTCTCCAACGTACTTGCAACCCCTCCAAGCTTGGTATTATCTACAAACTTTGTAAGTGTACTCTCTACCCCAAAATCTAAATTGTTGATAAAGATATTGAACAGAATTGGTCCCAAAACTGACCCCTGCCGAACCCCACTTGTTGTGCCAGCATGATTGAGAACCATTAATAACTACTCCCTGAGTATGGTTATCCAGCCAGTTATGCATCCATCCTATAGCAGCCCCATCTAAGTTGTATTTCTGTAGTTTATTGATAAGAGGGTCATGCAAGACCGTATGAAATGCTTTACTAAAGTCTAGGTATACCACGTCCACCATTTCTCCCGTATCCGCAAGACTTGCTATCCTATCAAAGAAAGCTATCAGGTTGGTCTGACATGATTTGTTCTTATTCAGCTGTAGGTATGGAGGATGTCTTTCCTTGGCTCTGGACACCTCCAACACAAACCAATTAGGCTTGGGTTTAGGGTATCCATAAAGCATCCCAAGAAGTTTTTTCCCTGCTGTCTTGCATTTTAAAGAGCAGACCCACCTGAGTAGCAACACATGACTGTAGGAATTGCCATAGAAGATCAGAGCTCAGGTTTATCTACTCCAGTATCTCCTCTACAACCCTGGCCTAGCGTCAGCTGCTTTAGACTCTTATGGGAAACCCTCCCTCAGGGAAACGTTTCCTCCTATGTAGGGCCGGATTAAGAGGGGGGCTAGCTGGGCAGCTGCTTGGGGCGCCAACCTATGGGAGGCATCTGATGGCAGCTGTAAGAAGTACCGTGTGCCCAGCTGTGCAGCACCTCTTACAGCTGCCATCAGGTGCCACATGCTCGGGGGCCATGCAGTGCCTGGTGACAGCTCTAAGGGGCGCAGCGCGCCGGGGGTGGGGCCATGCACGCGCCGTGCGCCCAGGGCAGAGCCATGCATGCATCATGTGCCTGCTGCCGGGGGTGCAGGAATGGCTTGAGCCGGCCCTGTTCCTATGCTCTGGAGTGTAATGTTTAACACATCAATCTCTGTCTTGCCAAACTTGCATTTCTTTCTTTCATCGGGTTATTTATTAACAAAGCTGGATTTCTTCTTAGCTATATTATATCAAATCCTTTTTAAAATCCTCTTAAGTCCTTGGGCTCAACGATCTCTTATAGCAATGTGTTCCCGAGTCTAACCAGGCAATCTTAGCTCAAGACTAGGAGCCAGGAATCCCTGATATCTAACCTTGGTTCTTTCACTACTAGCATCTTGTCACCACCTCCCTTAAGGATGGGGAAGCTACCAAAGAACAACTGGAAGATGCAAGAAGGGACCTGGAGGCATGAACTGATTCTTTGTGAGAGGTATAGTGAGTAACTTAGAAGCTGGTTAGCAGGTCACATGTTCAGAAGTGTCTGGGTGACTCAAGAGACAAAGTGCCATTTTCAAAAGTGACTTATACACTCATGTTATTGAGGCACTCTGAGAAGTAGGTTCTGGCTAAAATTAAAACACACACACACACACACAAACAACCCCTCCCAGTTTAAGTTCTGATCCAGTGTCACATACACATCTCCCTGAGCCTTTTCATTAGGGATGTAAAATAAATGGTTAAAAGAGTAACTATGGAGGAGGTGAAGAAATTCCAGGGGGGAGTGCGAGGTGACCCAGCCCCCAATCAAATTTTGCTGCCGCACTCAGTTCCTTTTCCCCCCCCCCCAACAAGTTTTGCTGCTATTTTGGGAGGGGAGGCGTGAGGGCAGGAGACTGGACTTGATCTCTCGAGGTCCCTAGGATTCTTGCTGACTTCAGCTGGTTCTATATTTTTATGCAAAAAGGACCTCCCTGTCTCCAGTAGCCTCATTGTTATTATTAATGTTACTTAAAAAGGCATCATATTTGACTGCCTTGTCAAACACCTCAAGAGACCACGTTTATCCACAGCCCTCAGAATCTCTTCTCTCCTTCAGAAAGAGCCAGTTTCTCTGGTCTCCCTCCCCCTTGACAGATGAGGAGGGTGTTAAAAGCATTTTGTTTATTCTATGCAGGAGGGAGAAAGGCTGGAGTATGTCAAAACTGAATACATATGGATGTATATTTACAGCTGTGCTAGATGACTGACAAACTTCAACACTCACAGGGTTGTTTCACACAGTTCATATTCCTGATTTGTCTTTTAAACAAGGAGATACAGCACAGCACAAACCTGGGGAAGGGAAAGCACCCAGCATGCAATTATTTAACATTTCCCAGCCACAAGTATCCTCTGAATTTACTGTGTTAGCCGACAGGACCTTAGGTTAAAATCCGCTTTCAAAATAGTTCATTATGGTGTTGCTGAAGATTATGAAATCACATCTCTAGAAAATCATCCCCCTCTCCATCCGGCATAGGCGCACCACTTTACTACACTGTGTCGGCTCCATAAATCCTAAGGAGGACCCTTGATAATCAACACTTGAGAGCCAGGGAGGGTGTTAATTCATTGCCCAGTAAGAAAAGCAACAATTTTAATAAAAAAGCCAAATCAAGGCTGTCACTTGTGCTCCCCTGGCAGTGCCAGGACATACTGGCGTGTCCCCAACCTGCCCAAGGAAAGAGATGCAAGGACTAAAACCAAGTGGAGCACACGGAAGGGGACTAGGCGACAGATGGGTGCCCAGGGCGCTGGAGCAAAGTTGAACCAAACTGTAAAGCCTGGATATGATGGAAACCGCTTCAAGTCAGGGGGTGCGACACCCCCGCCCAGCACCTCAAACTTCACCCTCGGGGAGTGTCCGCCCAAATCACCCCCTCTCGCCCCGGGAGCAGGGATGAAGCCCGGCTCGGACCCCGCTCTGGCCGGAGAGGGGTAACCCCCGGTTGCCCCAAAACTGCGCCAGGCGGCTGAGCAGCGCCCGGCTCCGCTCCCAGCAAAGCCCCGGACGCGTCCCTGCGCCACGCAGCGGCCACCCCCCACGCAGCGGCCGGGACACGCGGGGGAGAGCGGCA